AACATTTGTTATTCAATGTTTGTTTGGTTTTTTTTTTTTTTACAACCACAACTGGAAGGTGGTGATTTACTTGATATTATGGTTCCATATAATAATAAAAAGTATTACACATATATTTTGTAAACAAAGCCCACTTATGTAGTTAGCATTATTGAGACAGATTGTGAGGTTGATTTCGCACTCCCACTAAATTATGAAGAACATGAGCGGTACTAACTAAAATGAAAATATGTTGCAACATACATTTGACATTGCTTATGTATCCATTTGACCATCCATCTTCCATTATTTCAGAAATATAGAAGTTGTTTGGGCAAATAAATTAAGGACTTTTGCTTATGAATATCCTATAGAATTAATGCCCAAATGATGAAGTTTTGTAGCTCTGAGGAGGAGTGATGTTGCTTGAGGAGGTGTAATAACATAAACTCCTTTTATGAAAAAGAAAAAGAAAATGTAACTATATTATAGGAAAAATATTTATAATTTTCACAAGGAAATCCTTTTATTAGCTTTATCTCTACCTTGAAATATAGTTGGGAGGGCTTAATCATATGACAATACTCAAGATTAATGACATGCACATAACATGTAGTAGAGTATGGTTGATGTGTCGAGGGAAATGATAATGAATAGAATTTAGGCATCGATTGCATAAGGTTGCTATCAAATATCTCTATATTTCTTATGATAATGATGTAGCATGTTTGGATGGGTTGAAGCTTCTCAAGCAACCATAACTGCCATTACCAAGGTGATTCACACAGGCGTGAAAACATGTTGTGCTCAGGGGGTGGGGCAATTGCCCCCCAAAAAAATTATAAAGAGGGTCATTTAAGTAATCCCCCCTGCCTTTTTTCCAAACCCCTTGCAATCACCCTCACAATCGAGATTTTATTTCACCCGCTTCGCTCTTCTTCGTGAGGTAGGAAGAGTGCCATTGCCTATGTCTCTCATGAGCTCCCCTCCCTGTCCCAACGGCCCAACGTTAGCCTTCCTTGAATCGAAGGCCATCCACGATTGCAATGTCCGTAGCCGGTGACTTGTAACTCTTGTTATGTAACTGTTCTTCAGCTTCTTTAGTGAGTTGCTTATATTTCTTTTCAAAAATCTTTTTTTTGTTTACATCACTACTTTCATTCTTATTTCTTAGTTATGCTTTCATAATAGTGAAGCATTTTCCATTATTTATTTTTCATTCTTCAGCTTTTTTGATGGGTTAAGGGTTATGCATCTTATTAAATCAGCACATCTTTATATTTTTCACATTAATCTATTTGTTTTATTTTTAAATATATATTTGTTTCATACATATTTTTTCCAATGTAGCATTTTTGTATTCATTTTTGTATACACACATTTTTTTCAAACAGAATAGAGTAGATTAGTTTGTAATCATTTTGTTTCCAAACAAAATATTTACATGGGACATAAAGAAGTTATTTATAGTTCATTGACGCCGAATTTATATTGGTAAGAAAATGATTGATTTTACTCTTTTAGACATAGCGTGCTTAAAGTGTTTCGTTTCAAAATTAGAGTTGGTCTTTGACCAATGTGTGTCTCAACATAGTTGAACTATATGTACAAGCAATTTCTGGTTAAATAAAATTTTAGGTAACAAATAAAATTTCATTATTATCATTATGATTTTATAATATATACTTAATGTTCAAGTTGATCTTAACATTTCTAGGACTTAATAGATGGAATGTTATTTAAAGAGGAAAGAATATATATAGATCGACTGGACTGATCACTCGGCTGATCCTAGACTTTGACCTTCAATATGGAGTTACAATGAGAATGATAGGGATAAATTTTAGAGATATTTCTATGAAAGCATATTTTACTATTGTAGTGAGATATGTTAACAAGTTTGGGCAAGTCATTGAAAGATTTATAAGTATTATACATGATACATCAACTCATGCAGTAACCTTAAAGGCGTGCAATCATTGAAAACATACTTGTAAAACACTCATTGAGCATTCATAAAATTCATGATCAGGTTTATGATGTGGCATCTAATATGCAAAGAAAATTTAATGATTTGAAGGTACTTATTCTTCATAACATCATCAAGCATTTTATGTTCATTATTTCACCCATCAACTTCAACTATGCTTGATAGCAGTAGCGATGAATTATTGGCAAGTGAAACATCTATTTTTGTTTACTTCTAAAATTATAATTACTATTAGAGCTTCTTGTAAGAGATCAGATGCTCTTAAAACTATTCAGCATGATAAAATACTTTTACATCTAAAATACTATTCAACATGATAAAAACTAATTTACAAAAATCTGATGATACTCGATGGAGTTCATATTTATATTTTTTTTATTAGTCTCATGAGAATATATTCTTCTGTAATTAAGATGTTTGAGATTGTTAAAGAAGAAGGGACACATGATTAATAGTCAGTTGAAGTAAGTGTTTGATTTATACAATTGAATATTTTGATTTTATTTTCATAATGTATTTGGTGATTAATAATATTTTGAAGATTACACATGAGTTATCACAATCATTATAAAGAAAAGATGAAGACATAAAAATGCAATGTAATTGATGAAAATATCTAAACAACGATTAAATATTCTGAGGCAGAATGGATGGAGTGATTTATTTGAGGAAGTGTCACATTTTTGTATTACTTTTAAAGTTGAAGTTCCAAATATGAATGATACATAGAAAGCTCATCATCGATCAATACGAAGAGGCAAATAAATATCAAATATATAATATTATCATGTGAGCTATTCTACAATGTAGTTGACATACAATTTCAAGATCCAAATAATCATTGTTTTGGAATCTAGTACTGAGTTGCTTCTTTGTATGACATACTTAAACCTAACTGATTCCTTTCATGCTTATAATGAGAAGAAATTGATACGTGTAGCATAATTATATCTAAGTGGTTTTTCTACCATTAACTTTGTGGCTTTTAAAAGTCAATTATCAACTTATATCATTAATATGCGTACCAATGATGAGTTCTCATCTTTAAAAAGTATTGATGATCTTGCAAAAAAAATTGTTAAGGTCAAGAAGGATCATGTGTATCCTGTAGTTTATAGATTTATTACTTTAGCACTAACTTTATCAATTGATATTGCTATCGTGGAAAGAGCATTTTTTGCAATGAGGATTATCAAACATTAATTACATAGTAAGATGAATAATGATTCATCTGGTACTGTATATTGAAAAAGATGTATTCGATCTGATTCTTAAATGATTGTTTGGTATCGTATATTGAAAAAGATGTATTCGATCTGATTCATAATGAGATTGTAATAAAACATTATGAAAAGATTCAAAATAGAATAACAAGCATGTAATAAATTTTAATTTATATATTATAATGAAATACAAGATTTTGTTTTGAATTATATCTTCATTTTTTTGTTCATTTATATGAAAATTTGGCATCCCCTTGAAATGAAAGGTTGGTTTCGCCCCTAGATTCATGTATGGATGTTCATAGAAAACTGCCACACTAATCCTATTTTATGACTTTCAAAATCATTAATGCCTCAACTTCTTATTGATTCCTCATCTCCACCTCATTTGAATAAAAAAACTATATAAATAATACAATGCATAATGCCCTAGTGATGTGAAATTAAATAACCAAGATTAAATTTTGAGGTTCACAACGCATACAAAATATATTTTTATGCATAGATTCAATTAATTTTTTATAATGTTAATAATACTTAATTTTTAGTTAGTAATATTTGAATTTTTAATCTATTTATTTATTTATAAAAATTTAAAAAGTAACACACACACACACACACATATATATATATATATATATATGATCCACATAAACTTATATATGTAATTTAATTATTTAAATTATATATAATTTGTGAGTGTAAATTAGGGTTGAAGAAGAAAAAAAGAGCATGAATTTATTTTTTTAAATACTTCACATGTTTAATAAATAATTACAAATTATTTTTTTAAATAAATGATAATATGTACAAATAAAAATGTTATTGGGGCTATTTAATTAGAAGTAGAAAAAGGGATAAAATATACTGAAAGTATTTGTTTTGAAAACAATAATATTTTAGTTGAAGAAAAAAATAAAGATTAAAATTTAAAAGTATGTGAATTTGCACTTGAGTCCCATGTCAAAAAACTAAAAAAATTAAAGTAGTTGATATTTATCATTTAGCCACTTTTCAAATATATTATAAATTTTATCATCATCACCGCAAATCAAACCTCACTGCCTTCATTACCACCACTTGCTGCCATCAACCACCACCTCTATCATTGTTGCCAATGCCACCATTACTGGCACTCGTTCCCATCTTTCGTCACCGTCATTTGAGGCCCGTTAGTTTCTACTTGTCATTACAAATGTCATTGTAATGAACTATTGATCATCACCATCATTTAATTTTATATTATATTTATTTTACTCCATCTTATATTTATTTTATGCTTATTCAAATAAATCTTAATATTTTAAATATATTATATTTTCTTATATTGCCTTTTGTTTTTTTTCTGTATTATTTTCTCATCCAATCAAACGGGCCATATCTGAATGAATAATTATTAGGTGCGGAGTGCAGACGGGGAGAGCACCGTCTGCACAGACACAGGGTACCAAGCGGTACCTAATGATACCCAGTGATAACGAACGGTACCTAACTGAATTTTATACTAGTGTGCAGACGGTTCTCCCCATCTACACTCTGTACCTAATAATCTCTCCATATTGAATAACGCATGTACATACTTTGGCCTTTTTATGTAATTGTACAAGCAGATATGATATGACTGGACTCTACCATCGGTTACCTCCTGTTTCAGTTGCCAACTTCGAAATTAGCTATACAATGACCGACACGTGTCCTTTCTCGACGGCAAGCTACTGGTGCGTGAATCTAAGGTCGAGCAGCTTCCTCCCATGTCTTGGTGTACACTGTACAGTGACAATAGCATGTGAGAGGAGAAAACGGAGACGTGATTAAGTACTAATGGTAATTAATATTAATTACTGATTAAGACTAAACCGTGTGGCTATGGTGGGCTTATAAAATCCGCTCACACGGCTCTCATCTTCTTCCAAGAGAGACTCCACCAAAAGCATCTTTCTACTAAAGCTTGGTGAGGCTGAGTTTCCCGGCGAAGAAGAAACGCACAGGTTTGTTCTCTAATCTCTTCTCCTCCTCGTCCTCTCTTTCTCTTAGTTTTCTGATTCGTATTCTTGTGATCTTCTGTCTTCTTTGAAAAAACAAAGAGAACCAACTGGTTTTGAAAACTCTGTCAGTTCTTTTTTTTGTTTTAAAGAGACCAGAAGATTTGGTAAATAGATCTAGGCTGTTTTTAAAATTTTCTTTTTGCTTTCCATTTCTAGTGGGTTTCAAGGAGGGTTTATATTTTTTCATAACCCTCAAGTAATTTTTTTTAGACGTTGTAGATCTAAAAAGGCCACTTTTTTAGTGCCTTTGTTTAATTTTATTCTTGTTCTTGTTAGATCAAGATTTTTCTATTTTTATTCCTTTAGTTTCTCTTCTTCCCTGTTTTTTTGCCATGGCTGCAGCTATAGATTTACAGAATAGCTGGCCTTTTAACTCTTCCGATTCTTCTGGTGAGGAGCTTATGCAAGCACTTGAGCCTTTTATCAAACGTGCTTCCTTCTCATCTCCTTCTCCTCCTTCTCCCTGCTTGGCTTATTCTCCTCCTCAAGCCCCGACCTTTTCTTCCTCTTCTTCCTCCACTTTTTACCCTTCTTTCTCTTCTTCTTCCACCTTATTCCAAAATTCCATTTTGGATTGCCCATCTTCATCGATCGGGCTCACTCACCTGAACCCTGACCAAATCCAGCAAATCCAAGCCCAATTCCATCTCCAGCAGCAGAATCAGATGCAGAATCATATCCTGCTTGATAACGTCCAGGGCTTGCCACCTACCCTGCCTCAGCGACAGAGCTTCCTCAGTCCCCGTCCTGCCCCCATGAAGCACACCACCGCCACACCGCCAAAGCCATTGAAGCTTTTCCGCGGTGTGCGGCAGCGTCATTGGGGCAAGTGGGTGGCTGAGATCCGGCTTCCCCGCAACCGCACTCGTCTATGGCTCGGGACCTTCGACACCGCAGAGGAGGCAGCTATGGCCTATGACAAAGCTGCTTACCGTCTCCGTGGTGACTCGGCCAGGCTTAACTTCCCTAATCTCCGGCAGAACGGTTCCCACCTGGGCACTCCTCTCCACGCCTCCATAGACGCAAAGCTGCAGGTTATCTGCGAGGAGCTTGCCAAAGCTCCTGCCAAGCAGGCGAGTGGCGCTGTATTGAAACGAATTTCACTGCAAAAATCTGATGTTGATGCCCCCCTGGCTGCCGAGAACAAATCTGAAAGCTCCATAGAAGAGACAGAGTTGTCCTTCTCATCCTCTTCCACTTCATCTCAGGCATCATCGCCTGTGTCGGAAATGGATCAGTTGGACTTCACTGAGGCGCCATGGGATGAATCAGAGAACTTTGTGCTTAGAAAGTATCCTTCTTGGGAGATAGATTGGGATTCCATCCTCTCTTGAAAAAGAACAAGAATTTTGTGTCCTCTGGTTGTGTATTTTGCCTGTTGCAAATGGGGTTTTAGACATTTGCAGGGCCGTAGGATGTGTACTAATCACCAGGCTAACAGCTTTGTTTACTAGGTGTTGATTGTGTGTGCTATTGTTCATATTTCTCCAGATTTGCTGGTTATTTTTTTGCTCAGCAGAATCTGGGAGTGATGGTTTATGTTATTGTGTAATATTATCTGTGCAATAACAAATCTGTAATCTTTTAGTCTGTTCTATGCATTTATTATATTTCATCATTGTCTGAGCAACTTTTAGTTAGATAATCAACTGTAATATGTTTGTCAAAATCTTTCAGATTTCTATACTTCAATTAAACTTTATTTGTGTTGGAGATGATGACTTATTTCAGAGTTTCAGATCATGAGTAAAGCCTGCTGATAAAGGTAAAACAAACGAAGACCTGAAGATTTCATTCGAAACCTCCAGATGAAACTCAAAAACTATCTTCTCTTCTATACTGTAACTGTTGAAGTCTCTCTCCGTTCTTTATGGCAACTTAACTGTTCTAAGGACATTTTTTCCTGACTTTATATTAAGTTTGAATAGAAAGTTCAAACTTCTTGATGAAAGCTTAATTAGTTGTTTATTGTATTTATAATAGATTTCCCTATGTAAGTTTTAGATGTAGCATATAATTAAGTTTCATCGGTCAGCATGTAAGAGTCACCAATTTGATGTAGACAATTGAAGATCATACATATATAGATCTTTATTGATAACGCAAATCTTTATGAATCATTGAATAAAAAATTTTCAAAATTAAATTTATGATTATATGAGATCTAATTTTAGTAAATTTATAGTCAAATTAAATGTCTTAACATGTTGATCCAACGACATCAAAGGTAATTCAATTCAAGTCCAAATAAGTTTAAACCAAACACTTGAAGTATGACTGTGATACTTATAAAAATTAAATGAATAATCAAATGATATCTAAATATTTTATATTTACAGTCAGACAAGCACTTCAATGAGACAAATTGAATGAGATCAAGGCTAGTCAATTCTAAGATTATGAAGGTACTTAATGGTTGATGAATTATTAGGAAATTTTAGTCAAATTTATTGAATAACTATAAAAAAACTATAGAAAGAGACTATTCTTCATATGAGGGGGATCTTGGCTAGAGATTAGAGAAAGTTAAAAAATTGAAGAACTTTAGAGCTCAGTTTACTCACTGCTATCCACAATTGTGGTTTGACTAACATCTTAAAACCATCATAGTCCACTTATCATCATCCAATTGGCATTATTTGATTGCCACTGCTCAACTTTCATCATTAGTTTGCAAATGTTTGACTGTTGTAGTCTGCTTGTCGTTGCTCGATTGCCATCGCTCGTTCGTTGGCACCCAACTAACATTATATGATTGCTATCAACCATTTACTAATCTTATAATCTATATTATAACTACAAGAGATCAAGCAATTGCTTCAAGCTATGTAATCATGTCTTTTCGAGTTGTGGGAATGGTGGATTTATATACATAGTGGTTATTTCAACTAGGTTAGACACAGTGATTTTTTTTTTTTTTTTTTTTTTTTTTTTTTTTGCTAAAACTTTGGTGTTTTGAGGGACCTATTTTCTATTCAATTTTCATGCTAAAACTTTGGTGTTTTGAGGGACCTATTTTCTATTCTTGCTCTAACACTAAGTGCTTCATATCTCCTATTTTCAGTCTAAGACAAGCATACGCTAAAAACATTACACAATAAATGCAACATAATAATAAATGACAATTTATGACATTCTTGTGATTAAGAATATCTAAGGATTTTTTTTTTTTTTTTTAATTTTCATGCTAAAACTTTGGTGTTTTGAGGGACCTATTTTCTATTCTTGCTCTAACACTAAGTGCTTCATATCTCCTATTTTCAGTCTAAGACAAGCATACGCTAAAAACATTACACAATAAATGCAACATAATAATAAATGACAATTTATGACATTCTTGTGATTAAGAATATCTAAGGATTTCTCATTATAAATAATTTAAAATTAACCCCATGTAATCATAATCTAAATCTTTTATTAACTTTAATCACTTGGGCTCACCATAAGGTTATGCAAATTGCCCTTTAACCCTATATATGATATTGATTTCATGATCCCTAGGGTTAATAAATTATTATTCAATTATTTCTGAAGTTTTGCTTAATTTCTAATAATTAGGATTTGTCCTACCTAACACTTAATCTTGTTTTATCAATCTAACATAGCATGAAATCAAACCTAACTATACCAATAAATTTTAACTATCAGATCCCCAATTTAAGCATGCAGTTTACTCAAAGCTAATTTATATGATATGCAATTGAGAACACTTCCACACATATGCCTTATATTCATCATTTTTTTTTTCATTCATCGATTGGTTTTCTCTATACCTTATATTCATCATTTAATACATCACATATGCAAATTTTCATAGTTTTTAAATCTCTCAAATTTAAGATTTATAGTTAATAATTATCAAGTGGATTTTAAGGTTAAACAAAGGGAAGAAGAGAAATTGGTCGAACTTGTCACCATTATCATGATTAAGAACAATGTCATCCGTCATCAACATCAGTGGTGACTATTGAGAAGGAGAAGAAACCAACAACTTCAAAGATCGCCTATTTATCATCCATCTTGTATATGGAAAGGAAAGTGATTAATTAAGGGGAATAATATGGACTATATGATGGATTATTGCAGATTATGATGAAATTTATCAAAATTTCTCTCTTAAAAAGGCTATAAAAGGCCTTCATTCTCTACAAATGGAGAGGTTCAAGAGCTAAGATAGCTAATGAACTCTATTACATTTCTAGACACCTAATTTTTATAATCTCTACAATGAAAATCAAATAATGATACTTAGCTGTGTATAACCCCATCTTCTTCAATTATGAGGATTGAATGATTCTTTTATCTTCCAGTACATAGTGGCGACTTGATTTTTCCCATTATTGGGCTTCACACATAAAAAATCTTGATCTCTAATAATTTTTCTCTTTGCATGTTAATTTTTTTGTCCAAATATATGATCTAAAATACATAATCTATCGCAATAAATTTTCTAGAAAGTAGCAATATGCATTACTACTAATTCTTACTAAGATATGATAAAAATGGTAAAATCAACTAAAACCTAAAGAAAAAGAGGGAGGATGATGCAAAGGGAGAGAAAATGAGAGCTATGTGCATGAAACTCATATATAGCTTTGTGCATTTTATCATATATTATGATATTTGTTACTTTATATAAATATCAAATCTAGATATTCTACATGCACACAACAATGTATTGTTCTATTCAAGTTAAAATGCTAATAGTTTTATTTTTATTTGTTTTATATTATTTTTAGATCTAAATCTGAATGCACAAAATATAATTTTAGTAGTAATAGATCTAGTAGAAGAAATGTAACTTTAGGTGATTAAGCTATTTAAAAAAGTGCATGTTTTAGATATCTCATGTCTATTGTTCAAAGCGATGGTGAAATATATTATGATATTATTAGTGGAATTCAAGTTGGATGATTAAAGTAGATGAATGTATTAGACCTCTTGTATGATTAAAAAGTACTCAAACTTAAGGAAAAAATTTATAGGGAGCTGGTGCAATGTAAAATGCTTTACTGAGGAGAATTTTGGCCTACAAATGAGACAAATAAATTAAGTATAACAGAGATGAGGATGCTCAAGGTGGATTAGTTGCTTTATACTAAATGATAAAATGCGAAATGCGTACATATCTGAAAATGTTGGAGTAACTCCAGCGGCAGATAAGATTATAGAAAGTCGTCTTAGATAGTTTGGTCACATAAATTGTCGACCTTTCAATGACCATGTTAGGAGATTAGATGTATTGGAGGCCAACCTATGTTAAGAAAGGTAAGGATAGACCTAAAAAAATTGGTTAAAAAAATAACAATGGCTTTTTCTTTTTCATTACGTGAGAATTTGACTCTTAATGATACATAATGGGGAAATAAATTCATGTGGCCGACCCCACGTAGTGGAATAAAGACTTATTGTTGTTGTCATTGCCATTTTAATTTTAGATTATCTTTCATTTATTGTCCACTATTTGCTACACTTTTTGGTAAAGAAATTTTAGGGCCATGACTTAATAATATTGCTTTGGTAGAATAAGCATACTCCCAAACAAAACTAAATAATCATAAACCAAAAGGAATCTACCAATCACCAGAGGACAAAGCTTGGGGAGAAAGAGAACATGATCAATAATATGTGAAGCCATAGGAAACCAAATCCAACCATCCATTATAAATCGTCAGAAGAATGAGAGATTATTACGTGCGGAGTCTAGATCCAGAAGCCATTCGGTTTTATGACCGTGAACAATAAAAGTACAGTTATTATTCACCAATACGCTTTTACTGTTCAATGCTGCGTGCCTGCGCTTTTAATGTTCACAGTCACAAAATCGAACGGCTCTATAGGCCTGGACTCCGCACATAATAATCTATCATAAGGAAGAAGACATATCCAAAAAGGATATTCCTCCAATTCTTAATTTTGATGTTGAAAAAGCATATTGCTATTGTAGATAATAACTGCCCATTGTTAGCAAAGATGGCTTTTATTGGAAGTAGGTGAATTTGCACAGCCCCTGCATTCCATTCTGTAAAGCTGAATGATAGCCACTGCTGAACAGTAACAATGCATAAAGCAACAAGAACATTTAAAAAAGTATTACTGCAAACAAAGCGTGATAATAATTAATCAAAAGTGCAGAAAGTTGGCAGTCAACCTCATTTCAGATAAGCAGCATTTAATGAGGCCAACTACCCAACAAATAGGCTGAAGGATTGTAATGGCGTTCATGGGTTGCTTGGGCCTTCAAACTGGAGAAAGTCGGGAAAGAAAAGGATGGGGAGTTAGGTGTGATCATGGAGGGATTTCAAAGCTCTTTTAAAGCTGATTTTGCTGTCACCCCCAAGCTTCTATAGATTGGTGGCATTTGTCCCATGGCAATGCGAGAGAAAGAGATGGGATAGATTGGAATTTTGGCTTTCATTTCTTATTTTTTTGGACCACAGACGCTCGCACATGATAGACAGATGAAAGCTTGCGTGATTGGGAATAGGGGATTGTGGGAACTTGCTTTGAAGGCTATTTTGTTTCCTTTTTGTTGCCCTAAAGAGATTATTAGTATTATGGCATATGTGAGGATGGAGTTTAGTTTCATATTTACTGAATAAAAAATATATTGTGTGATAATGTTAAGGGGGATTTACATGCGTACCACTTTATTTTATGTTATTTATATATCTAATATCTAAAATTTTAATATTACATGGCTATCACATATGGAATAAATATGGATGCATGGAATGAAATATTAAAGTTTATAGGGTGGTATGGGTGATAAGAATGAAATATATGAATGTTAAATTTGATATTAAAATTTTATATGAATGTTAAGAATGTAAAATTAAAGTTTTAGATATTAGATATGTAAATAGCATGAAATAAACTTGTGTGTATGTAAATTCCCTTAATACTAATGGTTCGTCACTATTCATAAACTTGGACTTTTGAGTTAAAATTATATTA